AATCAATTTAACTATGGTTGATCTTTTAAGTTTCTTTTTTGATTTTTAAATTAATTTTTTAAGAGAGAGAGAGAGAGAGAGAGAGAGAGCATGAGCAGGAGAGAGGGGCAGAGGAAAAGGGAAGGAGAATCTTAAGCAGGCCCCACCCTCAGCATGAAGTCTGATATGGGGCTCAATCCCGCAACCCTGGGATCATGACCTGAGCTGAAGTCAAGAGTCAATGCTCAAACAATGGAGCTACCCAGGTGCTCCTATTTGGATTGCTGACATTTTTGCCTTAACAGAGCTGTGTTGAGAGGAAGCCCAGAATTTGGCTTTATAATCGTAAAATTTTGAAAAATACAGTTTCTTTTTTCTTCAGAGTGGCAGGGACAATGGCAAAGTAAAATGCCCATCCTCTTTTCAGTCATAAAATTTGCCAGTAAGCTTTTCAGAAATGAGTCCCTGATTTTATTTTTCCATTGTTGTTTTAACCCACAAGTGGAAGATCAATAGCAGTGCCTCTTATGGGACTTGATTAATAGGTCTTCATTGGGTGGATCTGTTTATCATTAGATTACTAATGCCATACTATCTTTGCTTTAGAGGCCAAGTTTATTGTTTAATCTATCAAAAGATGCCCCAGTTCAATTATTTTTATGTAGAAATATTATATTTTTTGATGGGAGAGTTCATTTCTACACCTAATTTGTGATAATTTGGTTCATGATATTCTGCATTGTTGATGAAAAATATAATATTTTCATTGAAAAAAGTGTTAATAATGTCCAATATAGAGAGGAATTAAGGTCTTTAGAAGAGGTAAATAATGAAAAAAAAATATGTTGGGACCCAACATCCCCGCCCCTCAACCACAGCCAATTCAAACTTAATAAGAGCGGCAACAACAAATCTTCCTCCATAATTCAAGTTTAAGGAAGTTTCACAAGTGCTGACATTGTCCTGTAAGGACACTTCGATAATTCAGGTGTTTTTGAAATCTACAATTAAGAAAAATCTATTTCAATGTTTCTGCTTTCTTTTGACCCCAAGTATTTGGGAGATCTGGGCTTGAATTTCAGCTCTTTGCTTTGTCTTTTGTTACATAACAATGGCAAGTCATTTCATCTCTTTTTACCAGTTGATCCACTTATCAAAAAACTACTGTAAAATCTGGTTAGCTACTGTCTAAAATAATGAATGCAAAAAGTCAATGAAAAATGTAAAGCATATAAATCTAAGAAAATAAGTCTGGATTCATAGGAAAAACATTTCTGAGAAAGAGATGCCTCACAGCTGTTTACATGTTAAATAATGTTTGGTATTAGTTTATAAGTTTCAGTGTGGCTTGATTCTAGTCCTTCCTTTGGATGTTAATTTCTTTTATAAGCAATATATGTGGCTTGTCATAAGGCACTTGTCCTCTTAGTGTTTACTGCAGAGAGAGCAAGACTAATATCCGTTCATGTTATGTTTTACTTCTTATTACTAAAAAGATACAGTGTTTCCTCATGGACATATTCTAAGTAAATACTCTCTCTCCTTCCAAAATATAATTCTAAGAACACATTTTCAGGTGACATGTTATCCTTATCAGTGTTCTAGAAAATGTTCCGTACTCTGTATGCAATGCTCAATTTCTATCCTAGAAACAAATAAGTGATTAGATTTGAAGAGTGGGTCAAGGAAATAGACATTTATGAGTGATTATAGCATTTCATATAATTAATTATAGTATTAGTAGAATGGTATTTCAAGTGTTTGAATCAAAATATTTTTCAATTTTCCTCCCTCTAGGTTTTACTTGCAACTACTGTTACATACCGCATGAAGGATGTTAGGACTTTGATAAATGGAGAGCCTAGCAGAACACATCCCTGAGTTTTATCACCGTTTATGAATGTCTATTTAAAGTTGATTTAGCACTTCAAACATTCACTCTCAGCAAATCGAAACAGGGCCTTTCATTAGAGAGGGAACCATAAGGGCATTTTGCCCCTGCCTCGATTTCTAAAGAGGCTTCGCGTGTGGGCTTTCAATTTTATCTCTAAATGGGGTTACAGGAGGGTACTGAGAGGATCAAAAGACAGGGCTTTAATTATGGACTGTATTTATTCAAATGCCCTATAATTTAAGAGCTTTTTAAGAATATTTCTTCATTTTTCTGAATATTCTAAGAACTTCAGCAATGAAGGTTGCCTAGGATTCTTAATTTCAAAGAGGCCTGCGAGGGAAAATTCTAGATAAGGAGAAAGAAATTATTTTGCTTCTTCACCTCCATGGCAGGAGAAATATTATTTCAGAAATGAGTGTAAGATGTGAAGAGTCTATTCGGAGGGTCTTTTCTCCTTGTGCTTAAGAAGACTCCGAGGTCTGTGAGCCCCAGTGAGTGTGGGGTGGGGAAAAAGGATTCAAGGAGAGTAGGTGTCTTGGCACGGCTCCCCATAAAATGGATTCTGAACACCAAGAAAAATACCCCCAAATAAGTGCTTTGATCCACTTACATAACATGTGGTGACATGGCAAGTGCTCTGCCAGAATAACACCACAGAGAGTAATGTGATAAAATACTTGCTAAAATTTCTTTTCTAAGATGCACCGCGGGACTTTATATTTTTTTCCATGCCCACAGGTATGCATGAACACAAACATATTTGTGACCATTACGGTGGCTTGTTTTTCAGAGGTAAACTATGAAAAGAAATGTAATATGATTAATAATGATTCTAAAACACTTGGTTTGGAGCTAAGTAACTTACTAGGGCAAGTAACACAATTGGGCCAGGTCAGTGATAAATCTGTCTCAAAGGGATTCCTATGCACCTTATTAGCACTGGGAAAAGGGAAGATTGTGGAGAGCATAGGGACCTGGAAGCAAACACAGGGTGTCTTTAACTCCACATTTACCCGTCAGTTTTTCAATGGAAGGTTTCTCTTTTATATAAGTAGATAGGGTGTATAGTAGAAATCCTTTGAAAATCAGTAGAACATTCTGCTCAAATCCTATTTGTTGAAGAATTTACTGGGCAGCCCAATCAGTTCCAGTGGACTATAGCTCCATGTAAATTAACATATTCAGGTCAGGTATGCATCATGGACTTTTTTTTTGTTAAGTTCTGAATTATTTTAATATAAGTTTTTGGAGAGTCAGAAAAAAAAAAGATCTGCAATCAGATTAATAGATCAGGCAAAGGTGTGAGTTCCTTCTATAAAACAGATGAATAAGAATCAAATTGTGTGTGTGCGTGTGTGTGTGTGTGTGTGTGTGTGTGTAGTTAGGGAAATAGTATAAGACAAAGACAAAGTGAATGAGAATTTAATTTGTGTATTATGTTTCCTTATTAAATAACGAATATAAAATAATTTGATGCGGGGCACCTGGGTGGTTCAGTTGGTTGAGTGTCCAATTCTTGGTTTTAGCTTAGGTCATGATTCCAGGATTGTGGGATAGAGCCCCACATTAGGCTCTGCCTAAGATTTTCTCTCTCTCCCTCTGTCCCTCTTCCCCACTCTTGCTTTCTCTCGCTAAAAAATAAAATAAATGAAATAAAATAGCTTGATGAAATACGTTCAAGTTGTTCTGTTTATTTTTTCTCTCACAATTCTCTGTACAGTATGAAGTGTTTTTTAAAACTGGGCAACATATTAATTTACAAATGCGAGCAAATTAAAAACCCTAGTTAAAAAAAACCTTGATTTTAATTACCTGTATATGGATCATCCATGATGGATTTTAATTGTGGACTTGTGCATTCTCTTCGGTATTCTTATGGCTTTTTTGCCCCGATCTAGGATAAGTGATACAAACTGATATTATTATTAAATGCAAGGCAAAGTTTGCTTTATAGTTTTGTATTTTAGTGCATGGGGTTTCTTCAATGTTGTGCTTTTTGTACAGCATGAATAAGTAAAAGTTGACCCCATCACCATTAATGGAATTGGTGTAGACTTGTACTCAATTATACACAAAGTGCATATTTCCTTTCTACAAACTTAAAGTATGGTAGTGTTCATAACAGCTGTACATGCACCTGAGAAAATGTCTGTGGCGTTTATGTCTCACTTACAGCTCATCTCACTTTTTCTTCTTCTTTCTGGTGTATTTCATGTACTGGTGTTAGTGCTGTAGTGGAAGATTGATGCCCTCCATCACACTTCTTATTAGCACTGTCCGAGTCAGTGTCTGCTTTTATTTAGAGATATTTAACAATCTATCAGCTTCACTTCAGAAGTTATTTGCTTTGATGAGAGAAATACCTTGGATTTTGAAAAATTAATATTTTAAAAATGACTGACAAGAGTATTGATTCCTAATGGGATTCTAGATCATGGCTCTGAAAATAGAAACTCTATAGAGTATACTGGAGAAGCTTGCTCTGATAATCAGCCTGAGCTATTGTGGACATAAATTTTGAAACACTGACATAAAATAAATGAAATAAGTGGCCAAAATGCATTTCCAAGTGTGTCATTTTCTGTGGAAGGGATGATTCACTGCAGCAAATATATACATGAGTTCTCTTAGAATTTTCTGTTATTTTTACTTAAAATTGTTTTGAAAAGCCATACTGAAGAAATGCTTTTTAATGCAAAATCCAAAGTTTAGTGTTTCTAGTTGGGGCTAAATTTTTAAAAATATATGTAAAATTGGATAAAACTTTGATGGTGCTAGCTGTAAGTTTAAAAAACAATGTTGGCAATTTTTCATAAGGAAAATTCACTAGAATATCTTCACACTGTGATTACTTTTCCTAAAAGAAATGCAGAAACATAAACAGATATGCATCCAGATGTGGGTGATGTTTTGTTCTCCACATCACATTATTAGCTGTTCCTAAGAGAAATGCCATCAAGTTGGATAGATATTTCTTGAAATGATGCATGGTACGCAGTGCATGCTTTCATTGTGCTTCCTGCCATTATGGAATAATGCGTCTTATTGGGAAATACAGTGATCATTTCTGTTGACTCATGAGCAGTCAGCTTATATAATAACACCTCTATTTTGTGAATCATTTCAGATTTCAGAGAGCTATGCCTTCTTACCAAGAGAGGCGGTGACGCGGTTTCTAATGAGCTGCTCAGAGTGCCAGAAAAGAATGCATTTAAACCCAGATGGAACAGATCACAAAGGTAGCTGTGGTGTCAAATAGTGAGATTTAAAGTCATTTGACTCATAATGGCAATTTATATCCTGCATCTTTATAAAAATGTGGTAGACTGAAATAGTTCAACAGGTCCAATCATCTCATCGATTCAAGTCAGAGGCAGCCAATTTTGAGTATCCACTTACGGAGTAATTCTGTGTCTGTTCTCAGAAGAAAGGCAGTTTTGACTGTGGCAAATAACTTTTTTCCTATAATAATATTTTAATTTTCACATATTGTGTGTATTTCATGGCATTTAAATATATTTAGCAATGAAATTGATGTCCCATCGATATCCTTTTATATCTACCAATTCCTTATTTCTGTAAGTGAAGAGTATGGTATGGAGCACCTCCAATGAAAATTTCTACATGAAAGTAATACTTTGGCTTTAGTTCTCATTATAAATTACTTATGTGATTTTCTTAATCTGTGAATTTCTCTGAGAGTTTAAAATCTCAGAGAACATTTAAATTAGTCCATTCCCATGTGTTGGGGGATGAATAGACATTAAAGAAAATGATGAAGGAAAAAATGTGCAAATTTCCTTTTTCACTCAAGTAGCACATAGAGAAAGTAGGTGTGTAGCAAAGGAGAAAAATACAAAAATACCAAGAATTGTGCTTAATCACTATATTGGATTCACCCATTGTTACCAGAGTATGTAAAAGCTTTCCCATAGTTAGAAATAACTATTTTATCCATAGCACTGATTTGTCCCATACACCTTGGTATAGTTATGTTTTTCTACCATCCATCCGTAATGCTACCAACCTCCTAAAGACTTGGTAACTAGAATCAGATTACCATTTTAACAACGTGGGCTATTCTGAAATTACAGGTAGAATAAAGTATCACTTTCACACTGATTAAAACTGTTTTATTACAGATAATGGAAAACCTCCCACTTTGGTGACCAGCATGATTGACTACAACATGCCAATTACGATGGCCTATATGAAGCACATGAAACTGCAGCTGCTCAACTCACAGCAAGATGAGGTAAAATGGAAATATCGACTTACAACTCAGAATGAAGTTTGATAATTATGACTGTCATATTAAGCATGATGGCATTTTGAAGATGGTAATTTATGTTTTAATGAAAGAAATGTGGGGCACCTGGGTGGCTCAGTCAGTTGAGCATCCGACTTCGGCTCAGGTCATGATCTCACGGTTTGTGGGTTCGAGCCCCACGTCGGGCTCTGTGCTCAGCACTAGCTCAGAGCCTGGAGCCTGCTTCAGATTCTGTATCTCCCTCTCTCTCTGACCCTCCCCTGCTCATGCTGTCTCTCTCTCTCTCTCTCAGAAATAAATAAAAACATTAAAACATTAAAAAAAAAAGAAATGTCACTGGGATTGTACAGGTGGAAAAACTTGCAGAAACTTCTAGTCCTCGAAAGAGAGTACCTGTCTTAACACATCTACCTTAATGCTGTGTGGGAATTTGCTCATTCCCAAGAAAGATTCCCTTAATTGACCACCATCAAGCTAGCCTTGGTAAAGTGCTAGAAAGTTCAGGGGAAAGTATCCCAAAAGAGAGAGTATCCAAGGAAAATGTCCAATAGTACTCAGGCTATTTTTCCAGGAAATCACAAAAGCCAATTTAATAGGTGTTTCAAGTATAATCATTTCTCTACCATCTAAATCTTTCTTATGTTTTAAATTTATTTTCGTTATACTGTATATCAGTTTGTCTACTTCTCTGTATTTTCTAGAGATAATTTGTTGTGATCTTTCTAATTTGAGGTATTTTGATGTTTCAAATAATCCTGTTTAATTTGTAGACGAGAATTTAGATGTGTACTTGCTGTAATGTAATAAACACAAATGCACATTTGCTAAATATTCTTTAGGACACTAATTAACTGTCCAGTTTGGTGGAAGTATCTCAAAGATAGAGACAGAGTTGTATATAATACCCCACCAAAACTTGTAGCAATAGGGGCTTAGGAAATGCTTGTTAACAAGCCATTAATCAATAGTCACATTCAGATGATCAATATTAGGAATGGTTTCTCAGACTAATATATACACTCCTTGAAATTTCTCAAGAACAGGAAATGTGCTTAAATATTTATTTTTCAAATGTAGCATTATTTGGTGAAGTGTTATAAAATTCTTTCAAAATTACTTTGTTGAGCTGACTTTAATAAAACTCATTTTTTGTTTTCCTCTTTATTTGAGCAGGTCTAATCTTAAAACTATATTATAAAATTGTTTTATCTCAAAAAACCATTAACAGTATACTCTGTGAGAAGATCTGTATTTGTACAGTGGCAGAATTGGATTTCATATTATCAGATGGTTACATATAAATGATTAAATAAATAGTAATAAAATCTTTGGGTTAAAGATATGAAAGACAACTAAAAAATATTAATGTCTATCTCTCCTGAAGAATGGAAAGTTATTTTCATAATTTATTACATAATTGGAAAAAAATTTTAAACCTCATAAACTAGTTGGAGCTGTCAAATTATTTGTAGGAAGCTCATTTAGATGTTGGTACATTTATTTCTAGGCTAAAAAGTAAGAAAATCAACTTTGTGCCAACAGTACAGCCCACATATGCTGAATCCTTCTGGCTTCTAAAAAATCATAAGTATTTCACAAAAGGGAATAGATCCTTTTAATTTATAACTAGATTAGGAAAATAGCTCTCATCCTTACATTTTGAAAATACCAGTTGGATGTCCACTGCTTTAAAAATATTCATATAAATGACTAGATTATTTGCAAAATTTTGGAAGTTGTAATTATTGAAAGATAGGAAAGTGATTAAGTAAATTGCATTAAAAAGGAATGCAAGTAAGATATTTCTTTGTGTTCAGGTGTATTACATTTTAATGTGTAAATTCAATTCGTTCAACCAATGGTTTTTGAGTACCTTCTATGTAACTGGCACTCCTGTAGATAATGGAGATAAACTGGATAAATTGACAAAAATATTGTCTTTATTAAACTTATCTTCTAATTGCGGGGTAGAAAATAAAGGAGGTAAATAATAAAAGTATGTATATAAGAAGATGCTAAATGCTATTAAGAGAAATTAAGATGGCCAGGAATGAGAATCCCATTAAGATTACAAAATATTTTTTCCAATGTAAGATCTGTGACCTTCTTATAAAATGTTGATGGAGTTTCAACCAGAATAGACTTACTGGGGGGGAGTTTGGCAATAATGATTAAAAACTTCTAAATGTAGCTTTGGCTAGAAATTTATACTAAGGAATGTGATGTATGAAACAGCTTAAGTATTAGGATGTTTGTTGCATTGCTAATAGTAAATGATTAGAAAAATTTCCAGATCCAACAGTGAGGAATTGTTAGATTTTCACTGCCCCATATGGTAACCATTAGCTACATGTGGATATTTAACCTGGATATTAATTAAAATTTGCTGAAATTAGATTTTCAGTTCTTGAGTTGCAGTAGCCATCTTTCAAGTGTTCAGTAGCCAAGTATGACTGGTAGTCACCTTATTGCCTAGGGAATATTATAGTGTAATTCCATCAGCACAGAATGTTTTTCTGAACATTACTGGCTAAATAACCAACATACGGGGCACCCATGGAGCTCATTGCACTGCATGTTGCAGGATCCCACCCCAGATTCTGATTCTAGACTTAATGCGTGACATGTGATGATCTGAATTTTTAACAATATCTGCACTTATGCACACTAAGGTCTGAGGTGGTGCATTTCATAGAAAGGCTAGTAAAATGGGATTTAAATTGGTTTGAGCATAAGGTAAGTGAAAAACAACAAAGAAGAGATTGTGGGAGTGGAAAACCCTTCATGTTTGATTGAGCAGCTTACACATTACTTGGTAGATTTGGATTGACTTGAATATAGCTGCAAATTTATGAGCAGAGATGTGGCACTTTCTGAAGTGGAAAGGTTAATTTAGCAGTAGTTGATGAACAGGACTAGTGGGGAAGAAATTGGAGGTGGATAGAGACTATTATTAATCATTTAGGAAATGGGAAAATGAGATCAGGACAAATAGCAATGGAAATCAGGAGTCCCATGGTTGAGACCATTTAGAGGTAAAACCTGGAACTTGAAAACTAAAATAAAATATGCAGTGGATCGGGGATCTGAATTTCAGGAAAATGTCTTAAAATGAAAAAGACTGGGGATAAAATTATTTCTTCCAGTAAAATATTTATTCTAATTATTTAAAATTAAGCCTTAGGGAAGCAAATTCTATGCTAGTTGGCCATGGCTTTCATTATCCTAAGATTTTAATAACATAAGGAATAAAGTCAGATCATAGGATGGAAAGACTCTTTTTCTCTGATTGTCATGCAGAATAAAATACCCACAGAGGGAAGAATTAAGATGAATGGCCTACAGATGATCATGAATAAAATAAAATACTTAATATCATATCAGTCAAGTTTTCCAGTTCTTCACTCTTAGAAATGTTTGCTAATTTCTTCCTAGAGTTAGCATTCCTAGACAATTAGCATTTTCTCTATGTTGATAATAGAAAACATAACATTATATTCTATGTACTTTTGCCACCTCTTATTAAAATTTAGTAATTTAATCAGTTAATAATTTGAATAGAACTTACAGAATGAATACACGCGCTTAGTTTTGTTAAAGCTCTTTATAAATGTAAGTAATGGGATAATTTATATTCTACTAAGGAGTAGAATATGTAATTTTCACAGTAATTTACTGTGAAAAGTAAATTATATTTCATAGGAAAACATAAAGGAAAATATTAAAGATAGTCACAGTTATTAAGACACCCATGCAAATTAGAGTGGTGATTTTTTAAAAAATAAAATGCACAGCAGGTTCATTGGTTATATAACCACTTAATTTATTGTCCACATTTCTTAAAAATATATGCTTATAAGAGTGTTTTTTATTGATGATAAAATGTGTATTGATTATTCATAATATACTATAGCAGTTTATATAATCATTCCATGGGCCAGATGTTGTGACCTCTTTGTATCTAGCTTTCGTCTAAACTCACACAAACATTCTGACATATATATACATTTATATACTCATGTGTATACACACAGACCTATATAGTCAGGATGGTATATATTAGAAATGATATTTTACTGGATTATGTATAGTTAGCTATTTTTAGTGTACATAATAAATGCTGATTTTAAAGACTATGTTTATATAAAACACACGGATACTTTATAAGCACATATTGGTCATATTTACTATTATATTTAAATTTATTTTTTGTACGTGTTCATAAAATGTAATAAATATGAATCCTCATATACTATAGAATTTCCTATGTATTCTACATAAAAATATTAAGTTTTGTACTTTTATATCTGACCTTGTTATAACTACTTTAAATATCATTATATTTGCTTAATCTTTATATAGCCCTATGAGATTGATACAATTATTCCCATTTTATAGATGAAGAAACTGAGGCACAGAAAAGTTAGGTAACTTGCTTAAGGTAACACATCTAAGTGGCAGAGCTGGATCTGAATCAGTCTGGCTCTAGAGAAAGGAATCTAAAATATTATCTATCATAGACCCTGTATATATAGTGTATATAATAAATATCTGTATCACCTACATGTGTGCATATATATGTATGTATATGTATATCATACATAGTGATAAGTTTGACGTGCACATTGAATTCTGTTATTTTTTTCTCTTTTTAACATATATATTTATTTCAGGTGCTTTTGAGTTTCTTAGAATTTAGAATTGGAGAAAACATAATATACCAAGAGAGAGGGCATGCCGCCGGGAGAAGTCTGTGTGGCCGATTGCCCAGAGGCCTCACAGGGTGGCATTTCCTTGCTGAATTCAGGAAGAGCTAGTACTACTCAGTATACCCAGACATGATTAGACCTCTCGTAAAGGAAGGACACCAAAATCACCTTGACCTGGCCTATGGATCAGAAAGCCAATTTGGTATTCTACTAGGGTGTTCCTGTCCCCTAACTGTAGCAACTTCTTTGCTGATACCAAGATGTCATTTATGAAGCCAAAGTAACTCTTCCTGTTCAAAGAAGTTATTTTCTCAAGTGTGAGTGACTTCATATAAATCCCAGTTTTGGTATATGATAGTGGGATACATTCTTTAACTGCTCTGTGCCTCAATTTCTCAATCTGTAAAATTGGATGAATCCTGGAACCTGACTCACAGGTTGTGATAAAGATGATATGAGTAAACAAATATAAAGAACAGTTACATGTAACATAAATAGCACTACTACCACAGCTGTTGTCAAATGTTACATTCATACTAAAGTTTCAGATCCGACACTTAACAACTTAAAGTCAAACCTGGTGATGTTGATTAAATACTTACAATATGTTACACAAGTTTCTCAGGCCTTTCTGCATACATAAGCACACCATTTGGCCAAAAATCAGTTCTCTAAGAGGAGTTTGCTTCAGTGAAATGACTACAGCAAAATATCTTAGATTTGGTTTAACTTAATTTTTGACAGATTTTGATGAATTGGGCATTTGGAAAACTGGTAATTCAGCCACTCGGCGAACTGGCTTTTGGAAAATGGATCTTTCATTCTCCTACCAAGAACTTTTTTTGTGGTTGCAGTAAAGCATATATTCACTTGCAAGGAAAGAAGGGATGTGTTAAAACTTTGCTTTCAGTAAATGTGGATTTTCAATCTAGCCATGTAAGTTTGTCAATTATTAGAATCCATCTTGTTTACCAAGAAAAATTTTTAGGGTAAGGTTTTCTTATCACATCCTAAGATTTTTGCTTATAATATTTTATTAGGTTATTTACTTTTGGACTCAAAACATATTTCTCTATATTTTATGTTTCCTGATTGACTGTCATAGGAAGGGCTTTACTAATTTAAAAAAATCATCTTTCATTACTTAGAATAATTCTCCAACTACATCCTTCCTAAACACATTATTTTGCCTTTTAAATCTCCTTGCACATAGATACATTGTTTGATTTTTCATAAGCCTTGAAATTCCTTAAAGAGAGAAATCGTTACATTATTTGTTATTTCAAGTATCTGTTAATATGTAACACATTTTACTGAATTCTGTACTGGCTAAACTCTAATTGATCCTGTAGATATAATGGTCACTATTTGAATGTGTTATATTTTATGATGCTTGATGATATTTTAAAACCATTTTCAGGATGAAAGTTCAATAGAAAGCGATGAATTTGATATGAGCGATTCAACACGGATGTCAGCTGTGAACTCTGATCTTAGCTCCAATCTTGAGGAGAGAATGCAGAGTCCTCAGGCTCTTCATGGCCAGCAAGATGGTAAGCCTTTCAAACTGAACAAAGAAATTAACAAAACAACAAAAACCCAAGTCAGAATTTCTTAAAACAACAACCACCTCATGCTTTTGTGCCGATTTTTTAAAAATCTGCTCCTATGGGGACTTTTCTGTATCCTCAGTTTCCTTTATCTACTTCATTATTTTTGGGTTAAAGTATTTTGCTCAAAAGTAGGGTGATAGACTGGTTTATAAACAGATGTTATAAAAATCCAAGCTTTCCTATGTTTTGCTCCCTGAATTTAAATTGTGTTTTATCAGTGTAGTTTGTGTTTCTGTGATGTTTCCTAGCTTTGGTTTCTTGGGCCATGATAATTAAGAGTTTAAAAATGATCAGAAGAGTAATTTGGATGTTTTAATTTTCCTAAAAGACAAAGTTGTAATTAAAAAACAATTTATATAAAACGATAATTTTACCAGGGCGATTTTTCTGGGTAAGAAGATTTTTGCTGGGATTTTGAGCTACTTAATAAAGCTGTAAGAGGAAAATTGATCATAATCTCTTATTCCTGGGTCCACCGGAAACTCCTGAATTAGCCAATTGTTGTTGATAGGAAGAAAACCAAATATATAGAGAAAGTAGATCAGGCAGTTGATATTTTATGTCTACTGTTTGCAGAGATCTTTAAATATTATCTTTGTAGATTCTGTCTTTGTAAGTATAAAGTTATGTATGGAAGTAACTGTGCCTTACTAAGGTAATTGTGAATGAAAATTAGGGGTTATAAGTAGAAGACAATTGTCCAATTTCACCCAACATTAGTTTAATATTCCTGTAATTAACAAGTTTGCATGAACTTTTTGAGTGTATATAGTTTTGTGCCTACATCTGTAGATAGGGAAATGAAAAAATTTCCTTGCTTTTTCTGATGATTGCTATTAAAAACCGATTGTAAAAGATTGCTGCATTTCTAGGGGTGGTTAGTGATCTGCTTTTGCTGTCAGAGCTTAAGATATCCCTAGTTTTAAGTATACCAAAAGTTCAAAAAACAAGGTGGCAAGCATGTTTCTTTTTCACAATTCATGAGTCTAAAAGATGTTGGTGTCCTTGTTGGCATGAATTACAAGGAATGAGGTAACCAATCAGTGGCTTTAAACCCATATCTTACCTACTATAGAGTGGAGTAGCTCTTATGGTAGAAAGGGCATTTACTTGGGAAATTTGTTTCTTTTTTAATGTTTATTTTTGAGAGAGAGACGGGGTGCGAATAGGCGAGGGGCAGAGAGAGAGAGGTAGACAGAACCTGAAGCAGGCCCAGGCTCTGAGCTATCAGCACAGAGCCCAGTGCAGGGCTGGAACCTACAAACCACAAGGCCCTGACCTGAGCCGAAGTCGGATGCTTAACTGGCTGAGGCACCCATGTGCCCTAACTTGGGAAATTTCTAAGAATGAAATTTTTCTGGTTTAGATATAAATTATCTTTTTCTTTTAAAATCTGAGTAGACATCTGCAGAGTTTAATTTTTTTATTAGAAATTGTATAGCATTGGGATCATAGGATAACTGAACTGTATATCGTGATAAATATATTTATAGATATATCACTCTACTAATATTTGTTCATGCACTTTGCCTATTTACACCATTGTCTTTTTTAGCCTATAGTTTTGGAGAATGTAAATAACAAGAGGATGTGTCTCATGATGCAAATTCATGGTTTTTTTGATTGAAGTTGTCAGTTGTGGATATTTTGCTTGGGGATAGCTGATGTGATATAAATCTATATTGATTCTAATAAGATTCAGTGGAATAATTTCAAATAGTGTTTACTCAGAGGAAGGCAATTTCTCATCATATGTTGATGCATGCCTCAAGAATAAGGACATGGTCGTTCCTTCTCCAACCTAAACTTAAGTCTTCTTTTATATAGATGTCTTTTCCTTTCACTTCTCACTGAGTTTTCTCTTGCAAGTACTTCTTTTCTTTTCCTGCATCATAGGTTTTCCCTGGGATCAGTATATAAACATGGTGTGACAGATAAATGTCCTCTTTAGAATGCCTCCATTCATCTGATGGTGCCTTTCCATTCGGTGCCTCATTTCTCTACACCATTCCCGCTATACACTTTCAGTAAAATTCATTTAAAAGTTGTCTCGTCATCTCCACTTTCGCCCCTCTCCATCTTTTGCTCATCCCAGGTATGCTCTCATCCTTGCCACTCCACACTGGAGCGCTCTAGGCTATAACCCTGACCTCTCTCCTCCCCTACACTCACTCCCTAAACGATCACATTGACTCATGTAACACCCTGGTGGATCCTAGATTTGCTTCTCTGAAGTGCTGATCTCTCTCCTAGCTCAGGACAGTCTCCTCCAAACACCTAAATTTAGTATTCTTCAGAGGACTTATCACTGTATGAAATAATATTTTTCTTATATATTAGCTGTTTCTCTTCTAGAATACAAATGCCATATTAGTGAACTGATCTTCTGCTTTTGATTTTCCTTTCAGTTGCTTGATTTGAGGTAGTTCTTAAATGCTCCATTATTTAAAAAATGAAAATACAAGTTTTAACCATTACCATGATATTTTACGTAAGTTTTACATATTTTTTCTTTCGCTTTTTTTCTATTCTCCTTTCCCCTGACAAAAGCACTCTCATAGATAGTCCACATTGACAAACTATTGTGTCATTTTATTTTTCTCTGTACTTACACACGAATACATGCATACATGAACATACCTAAACATGCACACATAAAAAAACGTATGTACATACTGAGAAAGTTTGGTTACCATTCTTTTATAAGAGTATGTTTATTTTCTCTCTCTCTTTCCCTCCCTCCCTCTATGCCTCTCCCACACTCACTCTCTCTCTCTCAAAATGATAAACTTTGAAAAAAAATATAAAAAATAAGTTCATATTATTTTCACTATTCTGTATCTTGTTTTTCTTATCCATTGTTATCTTTTAGAGCTTTCTACATGCTGCATATATATGTAGATGATGGGCGGAAAGGCATGGTCCCTAACTCCTTATAACACACAATCTAAAGGAATAAAAGTATACATGATATCAACCATGTTTGATTACTATTCAGCTAACCAAAGTGGGAAAATTACAGCCTCTGTAAAAATAAGAATTCATAGTAGTAAAATCTGTAGTTTACGTCTACCTTTCTTAAGTCGGTGGGGACTCTGGGTGCTAGACCTACATTGGATCTAGAGGTATATTACTTTCTTGTACATGGTGTATGTGATATTTGGGAGTAGTCAGAAAATAGGGACTTATGGTATAACAAATCCACTTCGGGTGGGCAATTCACATGCACCTTTAATCTAGTTCCTTCCAAAATTTCTCAACTTGGGCACTGGACACATCATTCTTTATTGTGGGGGATATCCTGTGCACTGTAAGATGCTTAGCAGTGTCTCTGGCCTCCACTCACCACATGTCACTATTAAAACCTGTCTCCTGAATTGTGACGATCCAAAATGTTTCAGATATTTCACAAATGTTTTTAAAATATTTATTTATTTTTGATAGAGACAGAGCATGAGTGGGGGAGGGGCAGAGAGAGAGGGAGACACAGAATCTGAAGCAGGCTCCAGGCTCTGAGCTGTCAGCACAGAGCCCTACACGGGGCTCGAACTCATGAACTATGAGATCATGACCTGAGCTAAAGTCAGATGCTCAACCAACTGAGCCACTCAGGTGCACTTTTTCTTTTTTTTTTTTTTAATGAACTTTTTTTTTTTTAATGTTCAGACATTTTAAATGTCATATGGGGGTGCATAATCTCCCTAAGTTGAGAACAACCGGTATAGGCAGAAAAGGCGAGCCGGGGTAAGAATCCTGTAAGACGGAGACTGAAGAGAACCCAATAAAGAGAAGCTTAGAAGTGGAGATTCGGGAAGAATCTAAGAAGCATGTTCAATCCACTTTCTGAGATAATGAAAATGTTCTATATTTGTGTGGTCTACACTGGTGGTAGTCACCAGCCACACTGCAGCTATTGAGTACTTAAAATATTGCTAGTGCAACTGAGGGACTAAGGTTAATTTAATTTTATTTCATTTTAATTATTGCTAATTTAGATTAAAATAGCCACATGTGGCTAGTGAGCAGTGTAACAGACGTGTAGGTCTAGAATATTGTTTTACTCTGACTTGGCGGTTAAATTCCTTTCTCTGTAGCCATGGGTTTGATGTTTCTGGAATCTTTGGAGAAATTGAGAAAAATCTCATTTTAGCAGTCAACTGGAACTCTAGTTTAATATTTATAAATATGAATAATATAACATTTTAAATTTTAAATTTAAGAGTTCTATTTCTTTAATACAACATGATTAATTTGTTCCTGTAAAGAAATTAAAATAAGGTGTTGTGATTTTTAGGAATCCTTACCTATGATTATAACACAGGTAGGTATAAGTATGTCTTTATTGGGCACAATATAAAATGGAGAGTTAAAAATCCCTTTTAAGAGTTTTTCCTCACTGTGTTTATGAAAGATTTGCAATATATTCAGTACCAAGGGAAATAATATAAATTCATTGGGGGATGTATGTATATTATGTGTATTGGAGAAAGAGAGGAAAAGAAACGTCTTGCTATTGAGCTGGATAATTAGGTGAAGGTCAAAAAGACACAAACTGGAATCGAGAATTTAGAAAAGGGAAGATTGATATATAATATTCATCTTCTTTTGTTTATTTGAAGCTTATAATGCTTCCCTAAGTCAATGAAGTTTGTTTTAAGTTTATTTATTTATTTTGAAAGTGAAAGAGAGAGCAAGCATGTATACACAAGTAGGGGAGGGGCAGAGGGTGAGGGAGGGAGAATCCCAACCAGGCTCTGTGCTTTCAGTGCAAGCTCGATGCAGAGTTTGACCTGGGCCGAACTTAGGAGTCACTTAACTGACTGAGTCATCCAGTCACCCCAAACCTATTTTACCTTTAAAAAAATAGGGATTTAACTGATATATAACATTATATTAATTTCAAGTGTACAACAAAATAGCTCAATATAGGTATTTATTGT